CGCTGGCTCCACCCCCGCCGGCGGAGGAGGGCCCACCGCCTCCCTCGGCTCGGGGGCGGCGTGTGAGTGAGCCCGGCCCGCGGCAGGGCAGGGCAGGGCACCAGGCCCCGGGGCGTGCGGCAGAGCTGACAGATCAGACAAGGGTTTGCGGGGTGGGTTGGGCAGGCACCGTCCCGCCTCAGGCAGGGCGCGGGCTGGATGACCTCCTCTGTCTGCCCCTCCGGCCCCAGTGCGCTGGGCAGCAAGGCTGGGATCGCTGGGGACGGGCAGTCAAGTCCCCAGAGGTTTGGGACCCACTTGGGCCACGGAATGGGGTGGCCCACCCGGGCCATGGCCCCATCAACTTTTTCCACGTTAATTTAGCTCTCTTATGCAGTTAACAAAAATAACTATACAGTTTTAACCGGAATGACCATTGCGCATTTGTGGGTTATATAAATTAATGTGTAAAAAGTTGGTGGGGCCATGGCCTGGGCAGCCCACCCTGTTCCACAGCCTTTGCGTGGCCGTACTTCGCTGGGAAGCTACAGGAAGCAATGCTGGGATCGCCGGGGACTGGCAGCCAAGTTCCCTGAGATTTGCAGCCCTACTTCGCTGGGAAGCTATGGGAAGAAGCAATGCTGGGATCGCTGGGGATGGGAAGCCAACTTCCCTGAGGTTTGCTGAGCTGAGAGCGTTCAGTAAATGCGGCAGCTGGGGGAAATCCTGGCCCATGGAAGTTGGTGATGCTGGCTGAATATCGCCCTAGGGCTATAAAGGGGTGGCAAACCAACGTGAAGACTGCAGCGGGTTGGGTGGCTCTACCAGCTGCTTTTAGACGACATAAGATGGCCAGGTTCTTCTGTCAACCACCTACCCAAAATAGTTTGACTGCTGGTTGTGGCTACTGGTTACCTCCGTTCCTGATCAGTCTGAGTCTGAATTAACCGTTGTGCTGGTAGAGCCTTTATAGCAGGCATGGCCAAGTTGCAGCACACGTGCCACAAGTAGCACAAGCTGCTGTGTGGCACGTGGCAGATCAGGGAGGAGGCAGGCAGCACGGCAGTAGATAGAGCAGGGAGCAGGAAACGAACCAGAAGATCAGGCAGGATGCAGAAAACAGTCGCAGATGAGAAAAGAGAAGGGGATTGGAGGGCTTCATTTGCGGCATGCCTGCTGAAAAGGCTGGCCCCCACTGCTTTATAGTGTACTGGAATGACTAAGGTCAAAGGCAGGTAATGTGGCAAACTACTGTTTTTTAGTTAATCCAGCTGTTGCTTTGTTCCTCTTCCTCCTCAAAGTTGTGTGCTTTCTCCATATATCAAGCCCCAAGTCAGCAAAGCATCTCCACTCAGGATTGCTTAAGCCCCTTCATAAGTGCAGCTGGGACTTTAGTTTGAAAGGGGAAAGGGCTGCTGTTTCTACCAGCTCAAATGCAAATGATGGATGGATCCTTTCTTTTTCTATCCCATGGGATCTGGTTGCTCTTGAGCCAGTCTTTAGTGATGGTCCCCGCAGTTTAATAAGACCACTTCAAAAATGCACCCAGCTTTCTTCATCATGGTTTCTCTCTCTGAACTGCTATTCAACAGCATGTTACCACATAGTATGCAACATCTTTTCCTCTCAGGAGACATTTAAAATCCATTTTTGACAATGGCACTTTAGGCCCAGCAGTGAAAACACTGTAACTCAGCAACCTGATGCTGTTTAAAAAATGCCATGGTTTTTAAAATATATATTACATCTTACATTCCTTTACCAGCAACAACAGTAATCCAACACTTTCTTTCTAAAGGTTATACTTTTAACACTGCAGATAATACACATGATGATCTTTTTTTCCATTTCACAGCACCTTTCATCTGGGACTCTCAAAAGCAATTTGGAAACATGATATAGGTACTTTAAAGTTAAAATAAATGGGTAACATCCTACACTACTGCTGGGACATAGATATTGCCATATTCATTTTAGCCATGATTAAACCAAGTACAAGAAGTAAAATGATTTGATCTCATTCACCTAGTGAGTCAGTGGCAAAGCTGAGAATTAAACCCCAGGAGTCCTAATTTCCTGTCCCTTGTGCTATAATGATCTTACCCATAAGTAGAAACTTTTTGTCCAGATAGATATGACTTTGTAATTTTCTGACTGTAGAAAAAAGCGCTGTACATCTAAGGTTCATTTCATCCTCTACTGAAATGTCACTATCTCAAGATGGAATCTGGTGACATACAATACTATGAAACAGGAAACCTAGGGGAATGCCATAGCCAGACTTTGAAGGGAGAATTTAAGTTAAAAAATCTAATTACCAGTTTGGAATATGACCAGGTCATTCATGTTACTACCCCAACCCTTTTGAAAAAATGCCAGGGGATTTTTCAGAAACGTAAGGTAGAACTTTGAACTTAGCTCTCATCTACAATTTCTGTGTAGTGTGTTTAATAGGTTAAAATATGCAGAGAAGTCCAGTTAAAATATCAAACAAAATGTGACTAAAATCCCTATAACAGCTGATCTGCACATACCAAACAAACCTCAGCATCCAGTGATCTTCCTATCATATAGCACAAAGTTAGAAACAGGATCTCAAATTGACCATCAATCTGTTCCAGTCTGGCACTTTCAGTGTTTTCACAATGTAGGGTAATTACTTCTGTCCTAACAGCACAGGGATCTACTTCCCCTGAGAAGTTATGCTTTTCTACAGCCTAAGAAATTTCATGTGTTAGGCTCCTTTCTTCCCTGTACCCTGTCTTTACCTCTCAGGGGGTGCATCTACACAAGATGCTTAATGCGCAGAAGACCAATTCTACTCTGTGCTAGCACAGCAGGCAAAAACCATGCTAATGTGCAGTAGACTTAGTCTAATGTGCATTAATGTCACAAAAAAGTATTAATTGGCACTAATGTGCAGTAGCACACATTTTGGCACATGAAGTTAGTACCTGTTATTACAGGCAATAAACTTAATGTGCCATAATTACAGGCAATTAATGAACATGTAGATGCACCCAGGATATCAGTAATATTTTACAGGAATCACCTTATGTTGCTTTCACCAAACAACGGGGTTTTTAAACATTTCATGTCAGTCTGAAAAGCCATGGCCCAGACTGGTCAAACTGAAAGGTACCTTAGAAATGCCTCAGATGTATTAGATTAGGTGGGGCCCCCTGTGGCTCATTCCAATGATAGACTTAGCACAATTGCCTCCAACATCCCTTACCATCACACCTCATCATTTGCTTCCCATCTGTTAACCTCCACACTGAAAAGCAATGGTAGAGTTCCAGTTCTGTGAATGATTTGGGCCACGTTTAACCTTTATTGATCTTGGCCTCCCTCAGCAGCAGAGAATTTGTCAGTTTGCTTTCTTGCTGTCCCCCAGTATGGAGGAACCTTGCCACTGTAACCAAAAAAGGCCATCCTACATTACAGCACCAGTGACCTCAATGGACCTGCTGTTAGATCACAGTGAACTTAGAGAAGATGCCTGGCATATCCCATGGACTGGTGCATAGCACAGCTTTCCATGGGACTCATCCCACCAGCACTTTTAGTCTGTGGCTGTGGGACCCCAAAGGTAACTCAGTTCCAAATAACAGAAACAAGGAGCAGGGGGGAAATGATATATAAATACAGTCTGGTTAGCAAAGTCCTCTCTAAGTGACTGATCATGCCAAAGTCACCTAAGAACTGTGTCATAGATTCATAGATGTAGGGTCGGAAGGGACCTTGTAGATCATCAAGTCCAACCCCCTGCACTGGGCAAGAGAGAAAACTGGGCTCAAATGACCCCAGCCAGGTAGATGTAAAGCCTCCTCTTAAAGACCCCCAGGGTAGGAGCCATTACAACTTCCCTTGGAAGTTGGTTCCAGATCCTAGCCGCCCTGAC